TGGCAGAGTGAACGTCCACGCTGGGTGGAAGAGAAGGTCTCTTTGCTTGTAAAATACAGGAAGCCTGCTGATCATGATGGCTAGCTCGGAGAAACCATTGAACATGTTAATGACCATGCAGAATAGAAGTGCACCAATATATTTTGCCCCATCTTCCTCGTTCCTTGTATGCATTCTTGTCCTTATGAACACCGTGGATCCTATGATTGCCACAATGATGATCTGAACCGTCTTGAAAACGTAAACAAAAGAATTTTTCTTGATGAGTAACCATTCTTTGTCCCAGCACGCCTTGAGGAGTTCCATTTTGGGGACTGAGTATTTCTTGAATGCCAAGGCTGCTCTATGACCCTTTGACCTGTCGAAACGCACCGAGAGCTCATTGTCGAGCCGCATGCCGACATGGAAACGCTTGAACTTGTTTGCAAACTCAGTCACTGTGATGTATCTATATGGCTTATTTCTGTCTACCCAGTACTGCTCTTGGTCTTTCCTTGAGGTAACCTGCAACAGTTTACTTCCTCAGAATACAAGTTCTTTTATCCTTCATATATGGACTCAAGGACCATAAAGAACCAAGTTTGAGCCAAAGATTAAATGGGTCTTGTTTTGAGATTTTTACCTCTTGTAAGAAATCAGCGGTTCCCTTTCTCTCAGGGCACTTGAACCCACAGCACTCAAAGAACTCAAGGATGTGTTCTCGTGGGCCCTGATAGACGATCTGACCCTCTGATAGGAGAATGATATCATCAAAGAGATCAAACGTCTCAGGAGCAGGCTGGAGTAGGGAAATCAAGATTGTGGCCTCAGTAAGGTGCACAATCTGCTGCAAGCATTTAACTATTTGGTATGTTGTGGAGCTATCAAGCCCTGTTGATATCTCATCCATAAACAATGCCTTGGTGGGACCAACAATCATCTCCCCTGTATTTCAAAAAAGAAATATATATATTATAGGGTATGGTTAGCATCAATGGTAAAATACTAGTAATTTTTCAATCTTGTTTGGTGTGGTTATTTAGAAATAATTGATAATTATTTTCTTTAATTATACGAAAGAAAGGTAGTTGATTTATAAATAACAATTATAAACTATTACATATTAACTATCAAGTGTCATGTAATGGTACAATTCTTTATGAGATTTTCAATATTACATTGAGTGGAGTTTCTCATGTGAAAGTGGTGAAAAAGATCATCTTCAAAAGCGGTTGGTGGGAGATCAAATTTGGGATTGAATTGGTCAAATAAATCTATTATTGCTTAATTTTCAATCTTGAACTTTTCTGAAACCATAACTAGTTGCTTAGCCTAACGAAACTGATAAACATATTAAGATTTAATCAAGATAAACACAAGACTCAAATATGAAATTATATAATAAAAGAATAAAGTAATCTGTAATGTGTACGCAAAAATTTTGGTTAATTTAATTAAAATTAACCTGTTGTTACTCTTTTTCTCTGTCCACCAGAAATTCCGCGGTGCATTTGATCTCCAACAATTGTATCTTTACAGATATCAAGCCCCAGAATCTGTCTCATTCAAACATAAGGAAAAAAAAAATGGAAGGTTAATTAACGGAGTAAGGCAACAATCATTTTCATAAAGTTTTTTTTACTGCAATTTTAAATAAGATGAAGGGTTATTTTGCAAATTGAGTTTTTTCAAAGGGAGAAATTGAAAATAACAGAAGTAGAGCAAAGAAAGGAAACACGTATATGTATTGACATGGTTGGACGTCAATCGGCAGAGTAGGTGAGGAGATATTTTTGTCAAAGAGATGTTCTAAGAAGAAATGGAAAAAGACAAACTTTCTGATTAATTAGAACCTTATTAACCAAGAAAGTCATAAAGAGGGGCTTGTAAATTAATCAATTAAAGGAATTAATTTAATCAGATTCTTTCTAAGAATTGTGATTATTTTTTTCTAGGGAAAAGTAACAGAAAGTTCAAAATAAAATAAAGGGAAAACCCACCTTGAGAGTGTAGTCTGTAATTAGGCTGCTTTCAACTCCCTTCATTGCAGTTGCCTAAATTTCATAGAATAATTATGATCAGTGTCTACGTTGCAAATGATCTGTTTTAAGAAGAAAAAGGGGGATACTTGGAGATTATTAATTACTTTCATGAAAAGGTCCACTTCTGCCTCTGGGAAAATTCCTGCATCTTTTTCCCTTCTTGCAAGCTCACTCAGAAGATCTATATCAAGAATATCAAGAAAATAGTTTGATTTTTTAATACAATTTGATATATTTGTTTCCCACTTAATAGAAATTATGAATCTGTCAATACCATATCGAGTACCAACTCCTTGGCACCTTGCGGAGAAATCAAGAGTTTCTTTAACAGTCATTTCTCCAACATGAACATCATTTTGACTAATGTATGCAGAAGTCTTTTTAGGCACAAATTCATTGAGTTTATACCCATTGTAAGTTACTTCTCCTTTGACCTGTTCAGAAAAAGAAATTAGTTATTTGATTTCTCAAGTTAATTTGATTTCACTAATTTTTTTTAAAAAATAATATACAATCAATTAACCTTCAAGCTTGGGTCCAATTTTCCAGCCAATGCCAGCAAAAGGGTTGTTTTGCCAGAAGAGGGTGGGCCTAACAAGAGTGTCATCCTATAAAATGGAAACAAATTAAGGTCACATCACTACATCAGTGCTGTAATGAACAAATATAAACTAATGGAACTGTCGAACATTTTCTCACTAAATTAATCAAGCACCTTGATGGTTTAATAATTCCTGAGGCATCTTTGAGGATGGTGAGTTTTGTTCTCTTAGTTAAACTAATTCCCAGCATGCCAATAACTGACTCTGCAATGTTTCTGGCAGCATTTGGAAGGGTTGGAAGAGCCCTTGTACCGATATGGCAATTGGCTTCTATGTTTAAGTGTTCAAACCTGACCTCTACCTTGGGAAGTCGAATTCCGACCCTGTAATGACAACATAGTGAGATTGATTAGTTAACAAAGATTAAGCTACCATTATGATCATAGTATTGAGGAAAAATTCTTATCATGATTTAACAATAAAAGTATAATTATAATATCACATAATATTATAAATTTATAATTATATCGTGTTATTATTGATAAAAAAAATTATAATATATTATTAAATAAGTAAATACTTATAATATCACAAGTAAACTAAATAAAAAAAATAGTATATTATGATTATAAATCTTAAAATATTATGTAATATTGTAAATAAATTATTTTTTAAAATTTAATTGTTTTGTCTTTAAATAAGAAAATGAAGAAGACAAAGAAAAGATTCAAAAGAAAAGGTATCAAAGAAAACAGCACAAAAAGAATCCTTCAACAAGCCAAAAATTCAATCATTTATGATGAAGTTTGAAGAACTTGGTCTTCTTGGTGACCTGGTCCACTAGGAAACAGTCAAAAGCAAAGAGTAAGAACCAACTTAGACGAACGAGATGTTAATAAATTTTTTGTTATTAAATGAAAAAAATTGAAACAATTATTATTTTCAATCCAAACAAGCTATAATTAAAATGTCCGTTCGAGCTAAAAAAAACGAAAATGTCATCAATGAACTTGCATGCGTTTGTAAATTCATTAATAACATTTGCGTCATTTCCAAACCGGATTGTCATTTTTTGAATGGATCTTACTCGTTTTGAAATGAATATTGAAACAGAACAGTTCAACAACTTAGCCAACAACAAATTAAGACAAACACATGCTTGTTTGATTATTTTAACATTGTTAAAGTCAATTTGTTACCTACCAAAACTGATGAGGATGAGTTGGCTTCTAATATTTGCTATTAAATGCAACGACACTTTGCGACCAAAAAAAAAAAAAAAAAAAAGGCAACCAAAGGACTAAAAATCTCTAACCCATCTAGAATTTAGATTTGGTAATTGGATTAAAATCATACCCTTCTTTCTTTTCCTGGTAAAAGTAAAAAAATTCAAGCTTACACTTATCTAATAATTTTTTTTATAGTTCATTCTTCGAAAATCTAACATGCATTAAATTGTAGAACATGAACTATTAACTGGAGTTGTTCTTACTTTTAGAGACTCGTTCTATTTAATAGTTCACATCATACAAATTAGTTGTAGTATGACCTATCCAAGACCTTTTCTTAATTCTGTATAAACCTGACAAATATATCATTCACAGTACTTATTTTTCTGATATGAAATTGAGACATAGAAGAAGAAAAAAGCTGGGAAAAAAAAATTAAAATTAGAACTTACTTATCAATCCTGCTTCTGAATTTCTTCAAGAACTTCTCATTATCTTCCTCAGCAATCTTGAAAATCTGATCGATGAACTTCTGTCGGTCAGACAGGTCCAGTTTTGTCACATCCACTTCTTTGTGCACAACCTGGTTTCCATGGACCTCATGCTCCAGAAAAGATTGCATGATACTAGTCCTCAATCGGTCATACGTCGGTAGCTTCTCTATAGCGGCCCATTTCAGAGCCTCCTCATCTTCCTCAGCTCTTCGGCTGCTCCTCCTGGAGTTCCTGCTTCCGGAAAACACATCCTCCATCCCCCAATTCGACCTGCTCAAGCTCCTGCTTATGCTGCTGCTGAAGTTTCGGCTAGTCCGCCGTCCCGAAGCCCTTGCTTTCTCTACTCCGTATCCCTCCATGTTATGCTTCTTCTCCACAGCTGGACTTCCTTCTCCACAGCTGGACTTCCGAAAATGAAACATATAGACCCAGATGATCAAAATTGAAAAAAAAAAAAACAGAGGAAATTTGGAAAGTTTTAAACACAATTAAGCCTCATAATGAGTTTGTTGAGGTGGTATTGTCAGCGCCTTGATTACAACAACAACATCTGAACCTCTTTAAAACAGAGTAAGAAAGCTCAAGAGTCGGGAATTTGTTTGCTTTATTTTCTGTCATTTTCTCAACAAACAAAAACTTCAAGAAAATGGATACTTACAGATCAGTGTAGAAAAGTGGGAACACGAATTGAAGAATTCTTTGTTTGTTTCTCACTTTTGTATGTCTCCTCTTCAAGATTTTCTGAAAAGTTAAAAAGGTTTCTGTCTCTCTTTAGTTTGGAACAGAGAGAATTTGAGGAGCGATGAGGGGACTTATAGTTGTTCCCCAGGAGAATAGGAGGGGTTTATATATGCATGAGGGGGATGAGACTGGGCCTGAGGGGGGGTGAGAGGAAAGAGGCTGCTGCTACACTGCAAATGGGATGGATTTGGTGGGGAAATTTTTAAAGCTTTTTTGAATAGGTAAATAAAAAAAATTTGTGTATAAATAAGAATGATTCCATTGATTGGGAAGCAGTGGTCAAATCTGACGGGCGGTGGTATCCGTTTCTTCGACTGCCATCTTGGTCATGAATTATTGATGTGGAGCCGTTGCTAACAACCAACTCGGAAGGGTTAATAGTTTTACTGGTTAGCAAGTTTGTTTTTTACTGTATTGGTCAAGGTGTAATTTTTTAGAGAAGTTAATATCGAGTTAATCTTTTATAAATCTTTTTAATACTATACATAGATGACATACCCTTAACTAGACCAAACAAAAATTAGTTTTAAAATACATATAAATTAATCTAGTAATACCCTAACTACTAAAAAAAGAACCATTAGCTAAGGATATGTTTAGTATTTGATTGTGGTTTTAAATTTTTTTTTTTTATTTTGGTTTTTAAAAATTTAGAAATTTTAAAATAAAATTAAGAATTTTTACAAAGTAATTAAGTTTAAAGTTTCAGGTATTTGTTTTAAAATTTTATAGTTAATAAGTTAGTAATTTTGGTTTTTAATTTTTAATTTCGATTGTTTAAATTTTAAAAACCAAAATAAAAAATCATAACATTCGAAACACAACCTAAATAGATTAATTGTATGTACGAGATGCTTAATTTATATATATAGAAATACCAACAATCTGTTGATTCAAATAAAAAGAACTGTTAGCTAAGGTTTTATGTAGTACTTGATTGTGGTTTTAAATTTTTTTAATTTTGGTTTTTAAAAATTTAGAAATTTTAAAATAAAATTAATAATTTTTACAAAGTAATTAAATTTAAAGTTTCAGGTATTTGTTTTAAAATTTTATACTTAATAAGTTGATAATTTTGGTTTTTAATTT